TTTCTTTCAGAATTTGGATCGAGCTCCATCATAGACCTCTCCCAGGTTTGTTCCTGTCACTTGTCTGGCTTCTTTGTCCAAAGGAGTGGTTGAGCCTTGTGTCTTTTTGTCCTTTATTATTGGCTGCTTCTTACAAATTTGAATACATGCTTAAAATCCGGCTTCTCAGTAGCCTTTTGACTGTTGAAATGGTTCTCCTGACTTCTGTTTGCCTATATTCTTCACGAATCACCTTCAGTGATTCATTTAAAGAGTACTTAGCTCTGTTGTTGCTTCAGCTTTGTTGATCCTTTCCCTGGAAGATGCTTTCTTTCCCTCCTAGGTTTGCCAGAGAAGCCCAGTGTCCCAGAAAAACAATTCAAATTATCAGCCTCACACTATTCAGTGTTTATAACCTGGTGGTGTGCACTTGGTATCTTTTTTCTGAGCTAAACTCTGCATCATATGGTGTTGGCTACCTGGAATTCCTATAGCTTGAACACAGTACAGTCAAAAGGAACTGGATGGGGTTTTTTTTCCCTTTTTTTAATCCATTTTCCTGTAATTAAGGACGACTGTTGCACCGTGTCTGGCCAGTCTGTCTGTGTGTCTTGCACCGAGTCTCTCACAAAACATCACAGAGATTCTATTTTCTTTTCCTATTAAAATCCAGATTACCAGAAGCCTTTGAGTATTATCCCAGGATCTGTACCATTTCTGTCTCCAAACCTCATCATGCATCCTGCCTGTGCTCGTTGTTGCCCTCTGTGCAGATGGTGCTGTTTGAGGCTGCTCTGGGAAGTGTTTTCAGCACGTTTGTGTTTGTGTGTTAATGCCAGGGAGCCCGGGGGTTAAGAAAGACAACAAGCTACAGCAGCTTTCACATCCCACTCTGAATTCCTTCTTGAAACCCACTTTTCCTTTTAGGCACAATTGCATTTGAAAATGGTGAACAGCTGATGTGTGGATGACATTGTGTGTTAAATTAGTAACAGATGTCATCACTGTTGGGTTTTCTGTCACTTTGTTATAAACTGTGTGTTTTTGCAGCTTGTGTGCTTCAGGCTGGGGCTGCTTTGTCCTGTATTCATACACAAAAATCAGAACCTCATTCTGTGCCAGTTCATTTCAGCACAGCTTTCCTTCAGCAGCGTTGCTTAAATCTTGGCCTTGTGCTGCTGCTTATCAACAAAAGTATGTATCTCTTTCAAATATGTATAAAAGCTAATTTAGGCTTCATTTCAGGTGTGAAAAACTGTGTATGTGTATTGTCTTGCTCTCTGAGATGTGTTGTCACTGCTGGGTGCAGCCATGGGTACAGACCTTGCTTGAGCCTTCAGGAAAGGTGGTTTCTGCTCCAGTGCCAGGTGTGATGGAGCCCTGTGCCTTCCTGCTCTCTGTGTTGGAGGACCACCAGGGCAGGGGGCAGTGGAAGGGAGTTGACTTCTGCTCCCTTTTCCTGCTCTGAGAGCCACGATTCTGCTTTTGGAGGGAGAAGTTGCTCCCTCCACTGGGCTTTTTACAGGTGGAGCTGGGCAGGTTTCACACAATGAGCCCGAATACGGAGGGGGAGCTGGGAGTCATCTGCCTCGTGCTTGTTAGGCTTCCAGTGTCACATAGCTGTTTTATCATCGTGTTCCTTTGGGAGTTACAGAGTTAAAGCTTGCAGGCTAGTCACTAGATATCTGTTGTTTATGCTGCTGTAGATAGGAATACCATTGCTGGTTTTTTTTGTTTTCCCCACTTGCTCATTAGGAGGAGCTTCAATCCTGACCTGCTATGCTAATGTTGAGCCTGTATTGCAAAGGATGTCTGAGCTGTGCTTTAATCAGTGTCAATTTGATAATATTTTAGTGATGATAATTTATAAAGCTATTTTGTGTGGCTGAATTGTGACTGATGTCTGCACTAGTTTGCAAGAAACTCACTTGACAGGTATGGATTTCCATGGTATGTGGTGTTTGCATTATGAGCTTGTGTCCTTTGAACTGTATTTCTTAATTAGGATGTAATGTCACCATGCTTGCATTCCCAGTAAATCTGACTTGGAAGTTCCTTTTTGTTGTTGCTTTGATGACTAGCGGCAGTGCACAGCAGACTGTCACCCCTTACAGAAAGTCTAAATATTTAATCTGAGTCTTGCAGTTTATTTGTCACAACTAATGCCAGGTTTTGTTCTTGCTGGTGACTTGTGTGTTGGAGCTTCCCCATTATCCTGGTCACCTTACCAGTGCATTTGGTTGAGGGAGCAGGTTAGAGCAGAGGAACTTCTGAAACCTGTCCTGCTTTTGGAAATGCTTCTGACCAAAGCTCAGAGCTGAGTAGATGCCTGAAGAAGTACATGTTAGTTATTTGAATGTTGTCCTCAGTACTGACAGCAGGAGCCATCAGATCTTTGCTCTACCTGATGAGCTGGTGGCCAGAAGACATCTTGGCCCTCTGCCTCAAAATTGCAGGGTATTGTAATCATCTTTTTTAGCAAGACTCCAGATTTTTGCAGCCTACAGGTACTCTCAGCAATTACAGAGTGACTGGCTGGCTGGAAATGCCTTGATGTTGGTTTTGATTAGCTTTGATTTTATTCCTGAAAGATTTCCAGAGAGCATTTTCTACCCCCTGCTGGCCTGCAGTGCCTTGAAAAATGCAAGTTCTGCATTTCACAAAAGTGCATGTCCACTTCTGTCCAGCACCTGATGTTGTCCAAATCTTGCTTGATCTGCTCAGCAACCTTTGTGCATTCTGTTTTGTCATGGCACAGAACTGAACATGCTTTAACTATTATTTTAAGTAATCTGTTCAACATCTATCACAAATTGGTGTATGATACATCCTTTCATGAGCTCTTTAAGTAGTGCTGTAAACACATTAATTACTGTATTTTGCAATGTCTGGGGTGGATCTACCATATTGACTTTTAACTTCTCAAATCCCCTGGGTCTTTTCAATTCCCTTGTATTTCAGTAGCCTACAACTTTCATAAATTAGTGCTGATTCTGGCTTCAAGTTGATGTTAGCAAATCTGAAGTGTTCTAGCTGTCTGTGCTGAAAGCTTTGAAAATTAAAGTTTGCTTCCTGATTTCCTATTACTCCCTGTGATGATTCTCTGGGGTATTTGCTTTCTGCAGAAGGGTATGAAATCATTCTTTACACCTGGAGAATTGCTAATTAGCTACTTAGAACATCAACCACTTTGGCCAATATGCCAGTGTTGTGTGATCTGCTGAGGGTATTTGGATTTGATTCTTTATTTCATGTGCTCCCAGTGCCTTTTCACCTTCACCAGTGTTTCAGGTGTGGTTCCTTCTTTTCATGGAAAGCTTGGAACAGTATTTGGGGCCAGGAACTCTTGCAGGGATTTTTGTTTTTTTCTTGTCCACAAGGTCAGAATGTTCCTCAAAACATGTTTTGTTTATTGCCTGCAGTGTGGATCCATGCAAAAAGCCCAAAAAACAAGCCACAGCTGAAACATTCTTTTCTGCTGCAGGAAAAAGTGGGTTTGCAGAAGTGTTTAAAAATTAATCAGGATGACTGATTAGTTACTTCACAGAGTTTATACAGCATTTTCTAGTTCAAAAAGGAAACTATTTTCTACAGAGCAAAACAAAAGAGTTCTTTATTTATAGTCTTAGAGATTTGTTAAAACTTAAAATTAAATTGAGGAGTACATTTGTTTATAATTTGCACAAAAGCGCTATCAGCAGCAGTCAAGGAGAAAAAATTGTCTGCGCTACAGCAAATTGCTTTTTAGAGAATTGTTAATTGTTGAGATCCTGTGGAGTGGAGGAGGATGGAGGGAAAACTGTTCATAGTGTGACACCCTTGGAACTGAACGAGAAGTTTCCCAAGGTGTAGCTTTGGATGTTTGGGATCATTTCCCCTCTTTCCATAGTGGGAAAATACACCCTGGCTCCGAGCTGGGTGCCAGCCTGGCACTTCATAGTGGCACTGCTGGGATTCCCCAGGAGCTGGGAGAAGGGAGAAGGGAATGCTGTTGTTCAGGAGAAGCTGTTCCATGTCTTTGCTTGTGTCCTTCTGTGGCATCTGTTGTTTGTAAGGGCTTAAGCGTGGAGCTGCAGAGCAGAGCACATGGAGGAGCTGATCCTGCTCTGAACAGGCTTTTTCCTTGTGTGGATCTGCATCTTCCTGCTGAATTTTCATTGTAAGAAAGATGGGGAGAAGGCAGAGAGCATGAGACAATTTAAGGAAGTGGCTTTAAATTGGCCTTTCATCTGCAGTTCTCATAAAAGCAGCTGCTTTTGCACATGTTTGGAGTAAAAAAACTAAATTCAAACATTGGCCTCTATGCAAAGAATCAGAACTGGGTGCCTCTTTGTCCTCAGGTGTGTACCTGAGAGGGTGAGGTGCCCATAAAGCTCTTAGATAGTTTAAAAAGGAAGAGAGGTTTTGTGGAACGAAACAAAAGCTTGTAAAGAAAAGCGTGGTGCTGCTTGAGCCCTGAGCTGCTGCAGTGCTTTAGCAGGGCCCAGCCAAGGTGGGACTGCTGTGTCCCTGGGACCTTGCTGTGTCCCTGGGACCTTGCTGTGTCCCTGGGACCTTGCTGTGTCCCTGGGACCTTGCTGCTCCTGGCTCCCTTCCACAGGCTCTTGTTGCCTGGAGCAGCAGGGCTCGCTGTGTACCTGGCTGGAGAGGCTCAGTCTAATGAACACACTTGGTTTCAATCAAATTAGGATACAAAATGTCTTTATTCTTCTCTTGCTTGTGTGCATGGTTGGGAGCCACTGCTCCTGGATTTTGAAACCAGCCTTCCTTCCCCTGTCTCTTTAATACTGCTTCTGTTCTGACACAGGTTGTAGGTTTCTCCTTGTTTCTCCTGATAAATGTGTGTAGATCCTACAACCATCTCTGTGTAATATCCTCACAATTGGCTGTGCTTTGCTAACCTGACTTTCCAGGTAAAACACAATGAAATGCTTATCAGGGCTTTTTTTTTTTTTTTTTTTTTTTTTTTTTTTTTTTTAATGAGAAATTTGAGTGTTTCCTGTAATTTTAAATAAAATGCTATTTCCTTTTCCTGACTCTATATGAACACCTGACCATAGGGGTTTCCAATCAGACTGCATTTAATTATAGAAACTGTAGCAAGGAAAAGACCCAGCCCTGTGGTGGAGACTGTATACTTTGTATTAAACCTGTTTGCTTGCGTAAAACTGAACATGAAGGCAAAACTTGGATGCAAACAACATTTTTAAGAAGTTTGCTCTCTTCTTCCCCTGTAATAAAAACTTTTGGGTCTAAATTTAGCTTGGAGAGTCTAAATTTTCCAGGAGAGCTATTCCATGTTCTTTGACTTAAAGGACAGTTTATTTGAGAAGTGACTTTGTTTTAAAGAGGCCTCAATTGCTTTGGGACCCACTTCCACGTAGGATAAGTTTAATTGAATGTAATGCAAGTCTATTGAGGGTGGGGTGAAGTAGAGAGACGCTATTTCTACAATATGTAGCTTAAAATTGTAAAGAAACATAATAGATTAGCCATTACTAGGAAGCTTTATCTATCTGTAATTCAATTTTTTTTCCAGATGTGCAGTCATCAGCTGCTCACTTGTGGCTGCTTTATGGTTTTTGTAACCAGGTCGTTGTGAATTATCCAGCTCTGTTGCCACAAGTGTCACTTAGAGGTATGATTGAGCACCAGTCTGGAGATTGGCTGCCTGCTGGCAGTCACAGGGTGGTTTGATCTGTCAGAGAATTCTAAAGGGGCTTGAACATAACATCAGATCCCACTTAAGGAAGGGTACTTATTATATCAATTTTTATTAAGTTTTTGTGGCTTTTCTGCAAAAGTCAGTGAAGCTGGACCACATTGAGTGTTTCTAAGGATTGCTGTTGATTCCATTTTGGTGTGAGGACTCAGATATAAATGTTAATTCTGTTTTCCTCTTGGTCAGCCATTCAAATTGTAAAACTGTTGGTCTCTGTTCTGCACTTGGGATCTTCCTTTAAATTAACTTTATACATTTGAAAGAAAATCATGATATGTTTGTCTTGTGTTTTATAACCGGTGACTTTTCTGTTTGGACCAAGTGAATTTAATTGTTTCAAAATTGAAGTTGCCTGCCAGCATTTCTAAAACTATTTCTTGTAACAAAATACTCTTTTTAGTGCAGGTATCAGCAAAATGTGTAAAATATTATTGTCATGCAATTTCTGCTTCAGTGTATCCTAATTTTCTGTAATCTGCTTTTAAAAAATCTGAACCTAACAACACTAAATTCTGCATGTCTGACCTTTTTTTTTCCTGTGTGGCATTACTTAAAGGTAAACACTGCTCTCTTAATGTAGGTTGTGAGTGCTGCATGTGTGCTTTTCAGAGCAGTAGTGTGAGGAAGCTGGCAGTGGAATGGCAGGACGGCCTCATCCTTATGACAGTAACTCCAGTGATCCAGAGAATTGGGATCGGAAATTGCATAATAGACCTCGTAAACTTTGTAAACATTCAAGGTAGGTGCTGTGTCCCATCTATTGCATCTCAAAAACTACACTGAAAATCCATCCTAAAGGCTACTGTATCTGGTTGTGGCAAGTCCTGTCATAAACGTTGTAATTCTTCTTACAAGGAACGCTTCTTAATTATTTTATAAGGTGTTTTCTGACCTGATTTGTCAGCTTCCCTTATCTGTGCTTAGATTTGTTTTGCCATGGGTTGCATTTTAACCCTTTAAAAAAAGCCAAAAAAGCCAAAAAAAGCAAAACAAAAAAAACCCCAAATGCCTTGTGTGCATATCAAAACACCGGTTGAGTGATTAAATATATGAATTTTTTGGGGGTGCTTGATAGGAGTTGCATCCCCAAAATATGTGCAGTTATCCATGTTGAGAGCTAATGGTTGCTTGCATGCCAGTATCACTTTCTGTAGCACTTTCTTTGTTAAGCTGTGTGTCATATCTTGCTTTTGCTTGCATCCCTCACAGTAAATGTGTTTTTTTTTTTAAATGCTTCTTGATTTGACAAAATGATGAAATTAATTAGTGTTTTTCCAGCGTACAGTGTTCAAAAATGAGCTAAGCAAAGCAGTTAGTCACCTTGCAAATGTATGAGAAGAAACATATTGCTGGAAAGATATTCAAGCATCCAAATAAGTGTGTATCTTTCAAGTACTTTGCCCTTTTGGAAGTGCTAAATATAACTGAAACATCTCTGTTAACAAGCTAAAATTGTTAGTTATTCAAGCTTTCCTACTGGCAAGATGCTAGGAAAAGAGCTAAGGAGCAAATTCAACTCATTTCACATTTTAGTTGTATAGATGCAGATAAACTAGACTCAAGTGTTGTCTGAAGTATTCTGTAGGCAATTAATATTGTGGGTTATTTTCCTGCCATTAATTCTTGAATGATTGTGAGAAATCCAAGAGGGCAGGACAAGAGAATGCAGCAGTAATTAAAAGGCTCACGGGGAGACTCGTGTAATTAGAGGCTGTGAATGATGGAGTGGTGAACAGACCCGAGGAGGGTGGCTGGTGCTGCTCAGGGTGGGTTTGTGGGGTGGAGCTTTGTAAGCTGAAGATTTTATTCAGGAGCTGGTGTCTGGTGAATCTGCTCCCTTTTTGGGGTTTCTGTGTCTGGTGATGCTGCTCCCTTTTTGGGATTTCAGTGTGGCACAGCCAGGGCTTTGGGTGGGAGTGAGGGCTGGGCAGTGCCCCCAACTGAGCCCAGTCCAGCTGGTTCAGCCCTGAACCTCCTGGGGATGTGGAATAAAACCTGAAACTGCTACAGGACAGAGCTCTCTGTGTGATGGAACTCCGGGTTTAACAGCAGGGAGCCAAGGACAGGGGCCTGGTTTGTCACCTGCCAAGGAAAGGGGCATAGTTTGTCACCTGCCAAGGACCATGGCACTGCCACTGCAGGGAGAGCAGAGAACACAAGTCTCCAGCAACATCATGTGGTCTGAAGGGCTTTTGGGTGGGCAGTGGAGTTACTGCAAGTCTGGTGTCAGCAGTTGAGAATTGCCTCTAATCAACATCTGCCCTGAAGGTTCAGAAGCTACCGAGTATCTTCAGAGACAGGGAACACCCAAAGGTTAAAGAATGATTTCTTGATCAGTCACAGAAATTACAATGATGAGCTGTAGTCAGTGAGCAAGTTTGAAATAAAGTGTGGTAGCTGGAAGCCTCAGCTGGGTAAATCCAGCCCAGAGGAACAGGACACATGTCTGACCATGTGTGGTCTGGGGTGGATTATCTATTTTGGGGAAATGTCTCAATAAAAAGCTGTGCAGCTTTCTGCAAAGATTATTGATGTAGATAGGAGTTAACTCAAGGACATCCGTGGCCTGTGCTTTTCAGAAAAGCTGCTCTTGATCATTTCATGCAATCTGAATTCAAGGGTCACACATCAAAAGGTAGGAAATCTATGCCTCTAAGATAATTGCAGCTATTTGCCATATTTCTGGCAAAACACAATTTGTTTCCAATGCTGAATAGCATTTTTATGGAAACTTGACTTGTATGCTAGGCATAAAGTACTCAAGCTAACATCTGATCATTTTAATTTTTTTCCCCAAATAAAGTGTTTTTGGAAATCCTTGAGAATGAGAATCTAAATAATAGTTTGACGTTGTAATAGAATAAGGGATAAATAAGGATAAATATTTTGTTACCTCATTCCTTTGAGATACTTGATTACTTCAGAGAATCTAATTATTAGGAAATGGTGTACTTTATTCAAAAGCCTGAACAAAATAATTGGATTTTCTGTGGCTAAATATAGATATATTACTATAGTTTCTGACTTAATTGACACTTTTTCCTCCAGACAAGTGAAAGTCTATGTGAAAAATACAGTGTGAGAGGGGAAAATGCATTTGGGAGTATAAGTTGTAATAATATAACAAGAATTGTTCTGTTAAAAGGTTTCCAGTATTCCAGTATTGTTTGTCTTACTCAAAATACACCTTGTTATCATCAAGAGAATACTTCTGGTTTGGAAAACATAATGGTGAAATAAGAGCTTTGTAATGAATAATCTCAACTGGGGAGTAATATAGGAGATGGATGCTTAGCTTGTCACTTCTTGGTGCTTTGGAGTGTTTAATCCTCCTGCCTTAACATTCTTAAAATAGCTTAGATAATTTTCTTGACTCATAGAAAACATAATCTGGGCTGTGAGCAGCTCTGTGTGTAGGGCTTGTGTGGCAGCAGGGAAAGCCACGGGTCTGTTTGTGGCCGAGGACAGGGGACAGAAATGTCCAAAGGGGAATGGATTGAATCCTCGCACAGGCCAGCATTACATCCTGCTCTTTCTAGCCTGGTGAGTGTCCACTTTATCAACCTGCCAACATGCCCTGCTGTTTTCTCTCCTCCTGTTCCTTACTTGTTCTGAGATGGGCAATGGGATGGATAGCTCAGAAGGGAGAGATGTGGAAAATAAGGACTAAAAATATAATGCATATGATCCCTGCTGTAAATCTGCAGGGCCTGTCAGGATGAATTTATATGGTGTTAAAGATGACTAAATAATCATACAAACAGCCTTGTTTGTCCAAGCTATTACAGAAAATTCTTGCAGATGCTTTTTATTTAAGTACCTGAATAAGACGAAAGAAGATGTTCAGGATCCATATGTTGAATTAATAGTGGTGAAGGTTTAAATAAATGGCCTCTGAATTCGTATTTTCATTATTAGCTATTGCTGGTCTGTACTTTTTTTTCAATTTTTCATCAGTTATTAGTTTCCCACATGTAATTTCACTATAGTGTTGGAGTTTTTGTTGTTGTTGGAAGACTTTAATTCTAATTCTCTTGCAGTGAGTGCATTTCCTAGAGTTGTGGTGAAAAACCTTTGGCTTAAATTTGTCTCTTCCTTAAGATTTGTCCTGGATTTAATTTTCTAAATCTGCTTCTGTTTTAGTCCCTTTTGACAGTTTCTTATTTGTTCATTCTATTTAGATATTATTAGATCTTGCCTGCACTGCTGCATTTATGAACAAAATGTGACTCTGATTCTGTTGCCATGACTCTTTGAAAATCTTCAATTGCTTTTTAAATCTTGTCCGTAGATGAGAGGTTATTGTGCAGATGCTAAATGCTGGGATTTTTTGTTCCCCCAATATTATTTTTTGCCTGCTGGGAGGATGCATTCATGGGTTGTGAATGGAAGTGCCACGTGTCTCAGCATTTTGTGAAGTACATGAGGCATCCCCAGAAGAGTCCCTTTCTCATCTGTGGAAGGATATCAGAATGTATAATCTGTTTTCCACTGTGGGGACAGGTTTTATTTCTCTTCCTGTGATTTCCTGAAGATTTTCTGCAGCTGAACATTTTGCAGCATGGGGCAGGCCTGCACAAGGTCTGGCATGAAAATAATGAGGCCTGATTTGCCATGGGCTCAGGTCATAGTGTGCATCACCCGCTTTTGGTTCTCTGCAAATGTGTCTGCTCCTGATTGCAGCCTGGCACTGGCAGGTCCAAATCGCCTCATCCGGGCTCTGTAGGCACCAGGATGGAAAGCCCTCGGGAAGATGAGGTGGGCTGGGAAGAGCTGGGCTTGGAATCCAGAAAAATGGGCTGCACTCAGTGTGGTAGCTTCTGAAAAACACCGATCTGTTCATCTGTTGTAAGGTACCCAATGTATAGTGAATGATCTTAGAGTTGTGAGGACTTCTTATTTCCTTTTTGACATCCTTCAGGTCTGCAGTGGCAGCTTGCTGACACTGCTGAGAAGGGAACCTTAGCAACTTCCCGGGCAAAGGCACACACTAAATCCTCCTGAACTTCTTCAGTGCCCAAATTGCCTTTCCCAAATGTTATCAGATATTATTTGTGGTGGACTTTGGCACATTTCATTAGGACACAGCACTTTCCAGGTGGCTATGCTCAGAACTAGAATTTTTTTATGGACAGCTCTTCATTGTTTGTACCTTTAATCTCTGAGAATTGAAACTGTAATGGCCACATAGAGTTTGCGTTTGGTTCTGGTTCTTTTAAATTTGAATTTTGAATTTCTGAAGCTATTTTTTAATAAATAGAGATCCTTTCCAGTTCTAAGGAAGATAATTATACTCTGAATTTCTTAGTCTGATTTTCATTTAACATCCATGTTGAAAATGGAGCAGAAATTGATATATAAATAAAGGCAACCAGCGTTCTTTTACGAAGGTCTTGTGTTTGGTAGAAGTCATAAGGTGTGAATGTGTTCCCTCCTAAAGGTCAAGTCCTTGCTGCTTTAAGAAATCCCTTTGGCAACTGAACACTCCACTCATGAGATCCTTTCCTGAAATGGAACTGCATTACTAAGAAGTACATTACTCATGGCTGAGAACCCACTGAAGACCAGAATTATGTGAATATTAAAGAATTTTGAGGGTGGAAAGTGTTGACAGAGTTTCTGCTTCGCGCTGAAGTAAGATCCTGTGGCAGCCCCCAAATGAAGCAGTGAGAATTCTTTCCGAGGGCTTCCTTCCATGGAGCCCCAAGTCAAATGTGGCTCCTGGACTGTGTCTCTGTA